CCCCTTCCATATAAAGCTTAAAATATAAATAATGTATGAATATTATTTCAATTATGAAAGACCAAAACTGATGTATTAATTATTTGCAATAATATTAAAGCACAGCCTGCGCCCAGAGGTCCTGAGGAAGGAGCATCTTATTGTTGTTCTGTGAGATGCATCAGATTGTTATGGCTTTTTGAAGAATTGATCTCTTTATCATTATGCAATGCCCCTTTTCATTTCTGATAACTTTCACTTGATCTAATTTATTCTATGAATATTTGTGATACATTTCTTATGTCCCATACATGCCCAGTACTGTGTCCTGGTGATATAATAAGAGTTAAAACAAAATAGATGTTCACTATAGGATTATTTTTCAAAAAGACTAGAAGCAGATCATCTTCCTTCCATTCCCAATTTTATCATTACCAGATATTTAGTTTTCAATAAAATACTTAATCTGGGCCTCAGCATCTGTAAGGGCTTCCCAGGTGGTGCTAGTGGTAAAGAATCCACCTGCTAATGCAGGAGACATAAGAGAGGTGGTTTCCATCCCTGGGTTGGGAAGATCCCCTGGAGGAAGGTACGGCAATCCACTCTAATATTCTTGCCTGAAGAGTCTCATGGTCAGAGGAGCCTGGTGGGCTACAGTCTATAGGGTTGCAAAGGGTTGGAAATGACTGAAGTGACTTAGCACATTCTGTAAATGAAAAAAAATTAAAGCTATGGATTAGATTTCTTCTTTCAGCTTTAAAACTCTGTTGTATATCTCTTTCATCTTTTCCATTCATCAGGGATAAACAAAAGTAAAGAAAATCAGAATATTTGTTGCCTTACTTAGGAATACCCATAAAAAGAAGTCTCTGGTTCCAAAAGGTAATTGAGAATCCTGAAAAGAAGCCTGATTTAGTCCAAAGAAAAAGTCAGACAGAGAAACAAAGAATTCAATCCATATTTAAAAATGAATCGGGATAAATTGTTCTAAAGCTAATAAAGAAAAAATAGGCCCACGAGTCAATCTGCTAAGCACCTTTGTGCTGAAAAAGTCATAAGTATAGAGTTTCTAAGACCTTTCCCAAAGCTGCACCACAAATGTGATTCCCGTGAAGCAATGGTATAACCCTGGTTTATGAAGAGTACAGAGATTTTCTAGGTAGCTCAGTGGTAAAGGACCTGCCTGCTAATGCAGGAGACATAAGAGACATGGGTTTGATCCCTGCGTGGAGAAGATCCCCTTGAGGAGGGCATGACAACCCACGTCAGTATTCTTGCCTGGAAAATCCCATGAACAGAAGAGCCTGGTGGGCTACAGTTTACGGCTTCGCAAAGGAGTCCAACATGACTTAGCAGCTGAGCACATGAAGGGTACACAAACATGAACACAAATGTGCTATGAAAAAAATGTCTTCAGAATTAGAAATTAGGGTCAGAGGATGAAGCATGTGCTTCTCCCCTTCACCACAGTGGCAAGCCTTCTGTGCGCTAACGCGCTTCAGTCATGCCTAGCTCTGTGCAGCGCTAGGGACTGCAGCCCACCAGGCTCCTCTGTCCATGGAATTCTCCAGGCAAGAATACCGGAGTGGGTTGCCACGCTCTCCTCCAGAGGATCTTCCCCACACAGAGATCCAACCCGAGTCCCCTAAGTCTCCTGCACTGGCTGGTGAGTTCTTTACCACTAGCGCCACCAGGGAAGCCCTGGAAAGCCTTTTGCATACAGCAAAAGGCTGCAGTCCCACTCACTTCCCAGATAAGCTTTTTAAATTGTATATTGTTTTCTCTTAACACATGTCAATGCCTTCCTTCAGACCATATGGTCCCTTAACCACAATTATCACTTATTCCAAGACAAATTCCTTGTGAATTTGAAGGGTAAAGTTTAATTTCCTGGTGTTTCGAATGTTCACTATGTTTTCCTTATCCTTCATGTCAGAAATGTAAAAAGATTATGACAAATGAATTCGTACATGTATTTCTCTGCTTATACTGGGAGATACTTCTCATCTTTTCAAAATGTAAGAAGTGAGGCCAAGTACAAATAGGGACATTTCCTATAATGCCATCTAAGAGCCACATGTATCTATCGCAAGAGGAATAGAATAAATCCCCTGTCATGTATCCACATCAAATACCTGAAGGGAGAATTCTGTGATACCAAATATGACACAAGTATATTTTTCAGCCAAAGCTATCTCATATTCTTGGGGATAGATAATATTTTTCCTTTTTTCCTACATTTCCTCTTTCTTTTCCTGTCACTTTAGCAGATAGCTAGCTCAAGGGTTGGTCCTGTGACAGAGTACGAGACAGAACCACTTTCTGGCCTGTATTCCAAAAGTCTAAGAACACTGTGGGGGGGAGGGGGCTCGGAAACCCACTGGACTTGCAGAGGAAGCGGCATGGAGGAGCAAGAAGGTTACAGGGGAGTGGGTAGTGACTAGGGGCATGTTAGGAGGTAAGGACCCAACACGGGGTTATCAGGCCTTAGCAAAGGATCCTTGCCTCAAGAATAACTCTGGAGCAGAGCTCAACCACCTCCAAGAGAACATGGCATAGAAGAATGCACCTTTATATAGCTGAGATGTTCTGCTTATCTATGATCAGAGGTAGATGAAAAGATTATTTATTTATTTTTTAATACAAAGGAGGGGAAAAACTGGTATGCATAAGGGCACAGAGGCAAGAGCAAGGGAATCTTCTTGGGGATGGCGAAATTCCTTAAAACTCATTGGATAGGAGAATAAACGATGCTGAGTGAAGAGCTTAGCATGAAAGGGAGGAGCTAGTCAATAACAGGGTTGAAAATCTGAGTGGCTGAGTGAAGACTGAGGTAATGAAGACTTCCTCTTCAGGGACTATAAATAACTGTTGTATTTGGATGACTTCAAGAGAGGCTGTTGAAGATGGTTCCAAGAAGGAGATAAACACGGTGGCTTGGTTGTACACGGAGGGGGTCCTGTAGCATAGCATGGCAAAGTGGGGTTTTACAGACAGGATTATCAGCCTGCACTGATGATGAATCAAGGAGGTTGGAAAAAGAGGAAAAAATGTTTTTAAATGGCTTCACACCCAGGAGTCTGGTATCTGTGATAATTTTGGTGCCATGGAAGGTAATAGAACATTTGGAAAAGATGGGGAGGGAGAGAGGGTGAGGTGGAGTGAAAGGGGGAACGACTGCAACAGAAAATAAAGATGCACACAAAGTTCTACTAATTATCCTACAAACAAAAAAAGGTCACAGCAGTATTTTTATAACCACAATATTCAGTGTCAATAATCATGTAAACCTTATCTTACTGTTGGCAAAACTGAGACCCAGAAAGAGTATGGCTCCTTTGCCCAGGATTGTTCTGCTGACCATTGGAGGATGGGCCCAAGAATCCGATGTCCTGACTCCGCATCAGGACCCTCACGTCCTGAAGCTCTATAGCTCTTGACTCCACCCCAGTGCCTCCTCATGCCTTTCCTCACCCTCTCTTATATGTAGGGGTCATTCATTCATAAGAACCCTATCCAAAAGGTTTCTTTCTTCAACAATGCCAAATGTGGCATTGCATTATATTTCTTTAGTGCACCAAAGAAAGGTTAGCTCCAGGAAACTTTTCTAAACTATGTCCCTATTTCAAAAGAATTTTTTGAGCATCTACTTTGTGCCAGAAAATGCACAAAGATATGCTATCAATGAGCAAGATAGCTCCCAACTTGAATGGAGATTGCATTCGAGTAGGAGGAGGCAAACAGGAAATAATAAAATGTGTCAGGTGGCAGTACGTGTCGTGACAAATGGAAGTGGGTCAATGGAAAAAGGGTAACTAGAAGGGTGGTCAGGGGCAGCCATCTAATAAAGTGACTTATGGAAGAAGCTTACACGGAGGGAGAGAGAGCCTTGTGCAGAAATCTGGAAGATGAATGTAAGAGCAGGGAGCATAGCAAGTGCAAAGGTACTGGGCTGAGACCGGGCAGTGTGTTTGAGGAGCAGACGGAGGCCAGAGGGACCGCTGCGGGTGAGCAAGGGGAGACAGGAAATGAGGTCAGAGCGTTGGCCTGGATGCAGACCACAGAAGGCTTAGAGGCCAAGGCCTTCAGCTTCTGCTGTGAGTGAAAAAAAAGCCACGGGAAGGTTTAAAGGAGAGGCGTGACATAGTCTGGTTTCCATCTGAAATGAATCACTCTGATTGCTGTACAAGGCAGAATTTTAAGAGTGGCTGGGTGAACGCAGGGAGACCAACAAGGAGGCCTTTGCAGTAGTCTGGGAGATGACTGGGGGTCCCAACCAGGATGATAGGCATGACAAATGGCCAGGGGTGGGCCGTAGTTTGAGGACAGAGTAATAGCACTTGCTCATGAATTACGTGGGGAAGCAGAGGACTTTACAGCCCTGATAATTTTCTTTTACTAACAAGGAGGACTTGAGAGACACGCGTTTAGTGAGTAGTGGGGCGAGCATATGAACCATGAGTTGTGGTTTGGGTGTTTTGAGTCCAAGATGCCCGTTGAGAAAGGAAAGAGCAGCCCATGACATCGGGGACCTGGCTGTGTCGTATCCAGCCAGGCCCGGAAGTGTGTCCCTTGTTGTCTTTCCTTGAACCCCTGGAGACCTCTAAGTGGAAAATTGAAAAGACAGTAGACTGGGGAGAAGGTCAAGGCTAGAGATGTAAACTTGGTATTCATCCCTATAGAGTGTTCAAAGCAGTGAGTGGTGCTATATGAAATCCCTCAGCAGTGGATGGAGAAAATAAGAGGTCAGAGGACTAATTCTGGAGAATTCCATGTTTTGAGGGTAAAGGGGAGATGAGAGCCAGCGGAGAAGACTGAGAAAGACTATCTGCTGAAGTAGGATAAAAACTGAGAGTGGGAAAAGAAGAGAATCCAAGAGAAGTCAAGTTTTTAAAAAAGTATCGCCAGACAGAGTAGCGAATGGTGTCAAAGGTGAGAGTTCAATGACCTGAGGATGGGAAGCAGACCCTTCCATCTAGAATGTGGGGGCCCTTGGTAACCCGAGAAGCTGGTGTTATAGAGTGGCTGGGATGAAAGCTGGCTTAGGGTGGCTTCCAAAGAGAATATGAAGAGAGGAAGGCTAGATAGTGTGTATAAATAACTCCTCTGAGCAATTTTGTCATAAACGGAAGTGGGAAGACATGGAGCAATATCTGAAGAAGATATGGGAATATGAGGTAAAAGAGGAAGGACTTTTTTTTTTTTTTTTTGAGGATGAATATAGCACATTTGTGTGCTGACGGGAGTGACTCAACAGAGCATGATTGATTAACAATGCTGAAGGAAGGATACACTTGGGTGAGTCAGAGGGGTGAGATTCAGGCTCAAGTTCATCTATCACAGGGGAAAACAGGGTGTGAGATACAAGCAAGGTGGCTGATAAATGAGCTGGTCCAAGCATGTGGGTGTTTATGTCTCACCCTCTGACAGCTCCTGTGAGTTTTTCTGAGGGAAATAAAGGTCATCAGCTATGTGAGAACGGGAGAAGTTTGAGAAACAAGAATGGGAAATACACTCTAGAAGAGTGGAAGAGTATTACCACTAATCCTTCTCCTCTTAAAGTCTTCACTTTAACAAAAGGAATCTCAGCTAGACATAGATGACCATATCATAGGGAGTCTTAAAATAAAATTCCACATGCATATATATATATGTAAAATTTTGAATACTTTTAGTTATGTGGTATATATATATATATATGTTCATGTGTATATATATATATATCTAGGTTTTATTGAATAGGACATTTATTAATTTGAAAAAACAAATTGAACTCAGAAATAAATTACCTCTCAGTTTTTTGACTCATAGGAAAAAAAACTGATGCTGGGAAAGATTGAGGAGAAGAGGAGAAGGGGATGACAGAGGATGAGATGGTTGGATAACATCATTGACTTAATGGACTTGAGTTTGAGTAAACCTGGGGAGATGGTAAATGACACGGAAACCTGGTGTGCTGCTGTCCATGGGATCACAAAGAGTTGGACATGACTGAGCAACTGAACAATAAAAGTACATTTTTTATGATACATCAATTTTTATGCTTCAATTTTATAAATGATTTTTAATTAAATTTTTATTTTATATTGATGAATAGCTTATTTACAATGGTGTGTTAGTTTTAATGTACAGCAAAGTGGTTCAGTTATACACATACATATATTCTTTTTCAGATTCTTTTCCCATATAGGTTATTACAAAATATTGAGTAGAATTTCTCTGCTATACTGTAGGTCTTTGTTGATTATCTATTTTATATATAGTAGTGTATATATATTAAACCCAACCCCTAATTTATCCTTCCTCCCACTTTGAACAGACTTCAATTGCCTTTTTTTGTTTTATTCTCCAGCTGCTGTGCTTTCTATCATTCCTGGAAGAAATCTCTAATTAGAGAAGACCCTAGGGCCAAGAAAGATTTTTGTTGTGCTGGAAAACACTAAACGCTCTTGATAAGAGCCTTTTTTCTCGCTCTTTCCAAGGTAATTTCTAGCATTTATGAATGTACAGACTGAAATAGAAAATGCTGTACTGATAGAGAAAGGAGCCATCATTCGAGCAGCTTCCATCAGCTACCCCCTCGTATCTGACCCCGAATACAGTTTTCTTACAGGGATGCAGGCTGTGGCCTTAAATTCCCTTACCACCTACTCGTCTCTCTGTGCTTCTGCTTGCCAGCGGCAGCCTAAGAGGCCTCTCAGGGCTGTCCAAGCCCATTTGTCAGGAGGCCATGCAGTAAATATGCCATTGGTCCCAGCCCATTAGAAGTGCTTCTGCCAAAGGGCCATCAGCACCGCAGCTCTCAGGCCTCTTACTTTCTTTCAGCTCCCTCTGCATCTTTATATTTTGTTTAAAGTCAAGCATACAATTCTCACATAATAAATGTTGACTAATAACTTGACCGAGGCCTGCAGTAACACAAATGGGGATGTTGTGAAATTTCAACAAAGTAAAAGCTGAACAAGAGAGGCTATTTTTATAGACAATATCAAGTGTCTTATAGTGTGAATCATAGGGAAGCTTATTTTATAAATTTCTTACATGATAAAAATTCGAAAAGATAATATACATTAATTATTTTTATTTTATCAAAGCAAAAAGACAAAATTTAGCAGGCTTATAATACCATCACCCGTAAATAGACTCAACTGTGGTTCTCAGACTGGCCTTTCCAATAGAGGAACACACAAACGCATTCACATCCATGCTCACACATGCCCAAAAACACATTATGTGTGATAAAACCAGACATGCTTTTTTTGTGACTTGTTTTTTGTTTTGTACTTAACTTACTGTAAATAGCTTTTCACAGTTTAAACAAAAGAGGCTCATTTAAAATTGCCGTTTAAGTATTCTTTCATCTGAAATCACCAGAATTTATGTATCGTTAAACTAGTCCTTCTCTTTCTGGACATTTCTCTCTGATTTCTTACTTTTATGATAATGCCACACTTAACCATGTCAATAGCTAAATTGTTAAATCCATCTTTATTAACTGTTTTAAGATAAATTCTTAGAACTGTCATTGAAACCTGCCACTAAATGGTGATCCAGGAAATCTTTTCAAATTTTGTTTTCTACAGCAATGAGATTGCCCATTTCTCTCATACTTTTGTAAACTGTAAGTATCATCAATTTTCCAAACACTTTTGTTTTAGTTTCCAGTTCCTTCTTAGCTAAGTGACACAAGTTTTTTTTTTTTTCCACCAAATATTTATCAGTTATTCACATTTTTCTTTTATAATTTCTTACCATTTTTCTTTGTTTAGTTTTTGGGTTTTTTTCTTATTTTGAAAACATACTTTTTATATATTAACAATATTTGTTTGTTTTATATGTTGCTATGTTTTCCTGATTTTCCCTTTTCATTTCAATTCTGTTTGTGAATTGTTTTTAACGTTTAGATGTCTTAGATGTTTAGATCTGTACCTCTTCAGATCTTACCAGTGTTTTCCTTTATTTATATTTGTGGCAGTGTGAAAAAGCAGTACTTAATAACATAGAGCTTTCCCAAATTAAAATTATAAAAATGTTTTCCCTTTTTCTGAATAAACTTCTGCTATGTTCTGCCCTTTACTGATTAGATGTTGCCTAACTTATATGCAGAGTACTTCATTAGAAATGCTGGGCTGGGTGAAACACAAGCTGGAATCAAGATTTCCGGGAGAAATGTCATTAACCTCAGATATGCTGGGCTGCCGTCTATGGGGTCGCACAGAGTCAGACACGACTGAAGTGACTTAGCAGCAGCAGCAGATATGCAGATGACACCACCCTTATGGAAGAAAGTGAAGAAGAACTAAAGAGCCTCTTGATAAACATGAAAGAGGAAAGTGAAAAAGTTGGCTTAAAGCTCAACATTCAGAAAACAAAGATTATGACATCAGGTCCCATCACTTCATGGCAAATAAATGGGGAAACAGTGGAAACAGTGTCAGACTTTATATTTTGGGGCTCCAAAATCACTGTAGATGGTGATTGCAGCCATGAAATTAAAAGACACTTACTCCTTGAAAGGAAAGTTATGACCAACCTAGATAGCATATTAAAAAGCAGAGACATTACTTTGCCATCAAAGGTCTGTCTAGTCAAGGCTATGGTTTTTCCAGTAGTCATGTATGGGTGTGAGAGTTGGACTGTAAAGAAAGCCGAGTGCCGAAGAATTGATGCTTTTGAACTGTGGTGTTGGAGAAGACTCTTAAGAGTCCCTTGGACTGCAAGAAGATCCAACCAGTCCATCCTAAAGGAGATCCGTCCTGAGTGTTCATTGGAAGGACTGATGCTGAAGCTGAAGCTCCAATACTTTGGCCACCTGATGTGAAGAGCTGGCTCATTTGAAAAGACCCAGATGCTGGGAAAGATAGAGGGCAGGAAAAGGGGACGACAGAGGATGAGATGGCTGGATGGTATCACCGACTCAATGGACATGAGTTTGAGTAAAATCCGGGAGTTGGTGATGGACAGGGAGGCCTGGCGTCTGCTGTCCATGGGGTCGCAAAGAGTCGGACATGACTGAGCGACTGAACTGAACCCCAGGGTTTAACTTCCCTCATAGCTTGCTTGGTAAAAAATCTGCCTGCAATGCGGGAGACCCGGGTTCAATCCCTGGTTTGGGGAGATCCCCTGGAGAAGGAAATAGCAACCCACTTCAGTACTCTTGCCTGGAGAATCCCATGGATAGAGGAGTCTGAGGGGATACAGTTCATGGTGTCGCAAGAGTCAGACATGACTTAGCAACTAAAATCACCACCACCCCAGGGTTTACAATAAAGTTCCTCCCCAACTATGGATATCTCTGATGTCATCCCAGTCTTTTCAATGAAGAGATGTTGAAGGCTGAAGATACATATGTCAGCTCTAATCATGATGGGACCTTAAATCAATATTCTTTATCAGAGATGGAATAAAATAAAAGTTAACAGCTCCAATTTTGAAGTCATACAAATCAGGTTCAAAAACTGATTCTGTTACATACAGGCTGACATTGGGTGAAATAACAGTAAGAAGACCATAGTATTTATCTCAAAATATTGTAGGTATTAATATAATTCCTGTAAAGCATATTGCAAGGTTAGTAGATAGTAAAGAGAAAGTAAAATATTTTAGAAGTTATAAATAAGATACTTATTCAAAGATCTCAAATGTAGATAGGTCAATTAATTTTTGCCATGGCATTACACACAATGCTGAACAAAATGATAGTCATTCCTAGCCCTTGAATTTGAACCATTTGAAAGTAGACACTCTAGGCCGTTATTATCTGTACTCCCAGCACTGTTTATAAGGACTGACACATATGAATTGTTGTCAAATGAATCAACAAATTTAATTTACAAATTCAGATACCTAAAATGTTTATGTATGTCTTTCCTCATGAATCATGAATGGAATATGTTAGCTAAACAGACATCATCTTATTATTAGGAAAGCTATAACTATTTGAATGGAATAATTTATTCTATTGTTTTGGTGAAGAGTTGGGGATCATGGAGTTTTGAATAAAGAGAGATTGAGCTAAGAGCACTCTACTGTTGAGGATTTCAAACAGAGTGAATTGGAGCATATTTTAAGGTATGTCGTATGGTGAGTAGTATATACTGGGAATAAATTGATTGTTGGATGTAGTGGGATTTTTGGTTACAAAATGTACAACATTGAGGATACCATAGTTTTATTCTTATAAACACCAGTCTCTCTTTTAAAGATTTCATTCGTGTTGAGGCTATATCAATTCTCTATCTGTATTCTAAAACTCTTCTCTCAATTTGAAATTGCTTTTATTAGTTCATTCATTCAACAAACAGTTTTGAGTGCCTTATATGTGCAAATCTTACATAGAGACATAAGTTAATAGATTTTTCCCCTCTTCCCCTGAGTCTACAAGTTAACAGATATATGGTTAATACTGCTCAAAAAAATAAAGAGATCAAAACAAATGAACTTACATGAGAGCAGTTGGTTAACTATGGAGCAGATACAAAGTGATCTAAGAATAGGAGTCTACAAATGTCTACCATGCTGGACAAGACAATAGAAAGTGATGATAGGGCCAAAGATTATTTAATTCATTACTTAACATTCACCAAGACCAGACTATGGTTAAGGCACTTGATTGAGTCCTGCTGGAGTAAAACGAGGACCAAGGATAGGCATCTGAAACCAAAGAAACTCTTGTTTGTTTAACCTATACACTGAACACATCATAAGAAATGTGGGGCTGCATGAGTTACAAGCTGGAATCAACATAGGTGGGAGAAACAGCAACAACCTCAGATATGTGGATGATACCACTCTAGTGGCAGAAACTGAAGAGAAACTAAAGAGACTCTTGGTGAGAGTGAAGGAGGAGAGTGAAAGAGCCAGCTTAAGATTAAATATTAAGAAAACTAAGATCATGACATTCAACCCCCATTATTGTATGACAAGTAGAAGGGGAAAAGGTAGTGACAGATTTCCTCTTCTTGAGCTACAAAATCACTGCAGATGGTGACTGCAGTCACGAAATTAGAAGACGACTGCTTCTTGGCAGGAACACGGTGACAAAACTAGACTGTGTGTTGAAAAGCAGAGACATCACTCTGCCAACAAAGGTCCATACAGCCAAGGCTATGTCTTCCCACTCATCATGTATGGTTGTGAGAGCTGGACCATGAAGAAGGCAGAATGCCAAAGAACTGATGCTTTTGAACTGTGGTGCCGGAGAAGACTCCTGAAAGTCCCCTGGACGGCAAGGAGATCAAACCAGTCAGCCGTAAGGGAGATCAACTTCGAATACTCACTGGATGGACTGATGCTAAAGCTGAAGCTCCAGTATTTGGGTCATCTTATGTGAACAGATGATTCATTGGAAAAGTCCCTGATGCTGGGAAAGATTGAGGGTAGAAGGAGAAGGGGGCGTCAGAGGATGAGATGGCTGGACAGCATACCAATGCAATGAACATGAACTTGGGCAAACTCTAGGATGTGGTGAGGGACTGGGAGACCTGCAGTGTTGCAGTCCATGGGGTTGCAAAGAGTTGGACACGACTGGGCTACTGAACAACAATAAGAAGCAAAGAAAACAAACAATTTATAAAATGAAAAAATATTTTATCATAAAATTTGTTGATGGATCTTTACAGCATCCTTGCAACTGAAGTAGGGCACCTGTACCAGTAGGCACAGATATAGAAAAGTAAAAAAAGTGAACTGAGGCTCAGAGAATTTTCTTAAATCATGTAACTTGGTATCAAGTTCCCAAACTTGGATCTAATCTTTTAGTCCAATGTTTATCCAACTACACTTTGTTGATCTGCTATGGTTGTAGGTATTTGGGTTAAAACAAATTAGCACAGATGACATGTGAATTAAAAAGTTTCCCATCACAGGCTTTTTCAATAAATAATGGTGATATGCAGGCAAAGTGGGACAAAATTTCTGTATCTTTTAACACATCTGTTCATGTTTCAGGATGAAAACTGTATTAACATTTTTAAGTCACTGTGACTGGATGGTTTACTCCTATTGTATTTCTCAACAGCTCCTGTAATTGCCGAGGAATCTTAAGAAATTGAGTAAACTTCTGTGAGACAATCAACATTAGCAGAAGAGAGTGCTTAGTTTGTCTTACATGTGCCGCTCTCTGAAAATCAGTAAGGAGCCAAGACAATAGGGCCTGTGAGTACAAGTATTTAAGAATCCATGAGAAGTAGAATTGCCTGCTGAATGCAGAGGCTTGCTGCAGAATGGAGCTGGAATCCTGAGTAAAAAGAGATAGAAAAGAGAGAGAAAATCCAATAGGGAGAAGAATTCTGGTGCTCAAAAAATTTTTTTATGAATTAAAAAGGACCATGGGGAAGAGGGAAGGAATGTTTGTGAAATTCTCTTGTCTCCAAGGATATTTGTAATGAGCTGAAACTAAGACAATGTTCTCAATGGGATGGATTAATGAATGGACTCTGCCCAGCTTTTCATTTGTAGCAAGCATAATGTCAGGATTAGTTTATAAAAAGTTATTTGAAAGTGTTTATTTGCACATTGGAGTTTTAGGTAATTTAAAAGATTTTTCCATTTAAAAACATTAATAAAATGAATTAGAAACTATAGAAGGCCTCATTTGAGGTCTTTGCCTAATTCATATTGATCGCTTTTTCTAAGAAAGCCTCTCTGCGGTCATGGCATAGGCTCCCTACAACCCCATGGTTTTGGATGTGTTCCTGTTTTCTTGGTTACCATGAATTGCATACAAGTATACCAGTTTCCCAATGTGGGCCGGGGAATCTTTACAATCTGTGTTTGCAGGGAATTTGGAATTGTGATACAGTGATGATCGCTTTTTCTCAGGATATTAATAAAATGAGGGTTTTGAAACTGGGAGTTATTGAGCACTTCTCTTCTACACATTGGATTGCAGATAAAGGCAGATGTTCAGAGAGGAGCAAAAATGACAGGTAGGAAGTCTACTGCCATTCTGATTTTCAGAGTCATATTACTATGTCAAAAGCATCTTTTTCTTTTTTATTAAAGTTGATTTACAGTATTACATTAGTTTCAGATATACAGTATATTGAGTCAACAGGTTATACACCATTTAAGTTATGACATAATAATGGCTATACTTCCCTGTGGTTTACAATATATCCTTAATGTTTATTTATTTTGTACATAGTAGTTTGTATCTCTTAATCCTCTATCTCTATCTTGCCTCTCCCTCACTGGTAACCACTGGCTTGTTCTCTATATCTGTGAATCTGTTTTGTTATATTCATTTGTTTGTTGTATTTTTTAGATTGAAGATATAAGGGCTAACATACTGTATGTGTCTTTCTCTGTCTGACTTATTTCACTAAGGATAATATCCTCAAGGTCCATCCACATTGTTGCAAATGGCAAGATTTCATTCATCTTTATGGCTGAGAACTATTCCATTGTATATGTATATATGTAGATATATGCTATATCTTCTTCAACCATTCAACTGTTGATAAACACTTATGTTGCTTTCACATCTTGGTTTTTGAAAATAATGATCCCATGCATGTATCTTTTCCCTGAATAGACATTTTTGGAAAAAAGACATATAGATACCATGAAAAGATGCTGAACATCACTAATCATTAGAGAAATAAAATTCAAAATCTCAGTGGAATATCACCTCACACATGTGAGAATGACTATTATTAAAAAGATGACAAATAACAAATGTTGACGAGGATATGGAAAAAAGGGGACCCTTACACACTGTTGATAAAAATGGAAAACAGTATGAAGGTTTCTTAAAAAACTAAAAATAGAACTACCATATGATCCAGCAACTCCACTCCTGGATATATATCTGAAAGAATCAAAGCCACCAATTTGAAAAGATACCTGTACGCCAATGTTCATATCAGCATTATTTACAATTGCCAAGATATGAAAGCAGCTTACATGCCCATCAACAGGTTAATAATTATGATATCATGTATATGTCCAATCTAAAATATGCAACTAGTGAATATAACAAAAAAGAAGCATTCACTCACGGATACACAGAACAAACTGGTAGTTACCAGTGGGCAGAGTGAATGAGAGAGAGGCAAAAGGTGAGGGTAGGCGATTTAGAGGCCCAAACTATTAGGTATAAAATAATCTACAAAGACGTATTATGTAACACGGGTAATACAGCAAATATTTTATAATAACTACAAGTGGAGTATAACATTTAAAAATTGTGGATCATTGTATTATACACCTGTAATTTACATGACATTATACAGCAACTATATTTCAATTAAAACAAAATAACTTTATCCTTTATAAATACATGCTAAAATTTTTATGGATTGAATAGGAGAAATGAGTAAACAACCAAAACAAGCATCAAGATTAATGGTGAAAATCTCTGCTAGATGAGGAAAAGAAAGCCCACTATTGGAATCATCATTTAATATTGTTTTGGAAGTGATAGATAATTCCCCTAGGAAAGAGAATTATATAAGGATGTAATAATTACAGTGCTTCCCTCGTGGCTCAGTGGTGAAGAATCTGCCTGCCAAGAAGGAGACCCAGGTTTGATCCCTGGGTCAAGAAGACCCCTGGAGAAGGAAATGGCAACCCACTCCAGTATTCTTACCTGGGATATCCCATGGACAGATGAGCCTGGTAGGCTACAATCTATGGGGTCACAAAATAATTGGACATGACTTAGCAACTAAACAACAACAACAATAATAATTACAACAGAGAAAACAACATTATCATAAGTTACAAAAAATATTTATAGAGCATGAACTGAAAACCTATTAGAAATAACTTTAAAAGCTATTAGGAATGCAGGTTATAACACTAATGTAAAAAACATTAACTCTCTCATAAAAGCAACAGAAGCTATGATATATAACAGACAAGATCTCATTCAAAATGCCAAAAAAAAAAAAAATTACAGAACACCTTAGCATATATGTAACAAGAAATACACAAACCTATATGAAGAAAATTTTGAAGATTTTTTATAGCATGTAAAAATTACAGAGAAGACATGGATATTACAAAGATATCCATTCCCTAAGTCAATCTATAGATTTTGTGCACTCTCAAAAGTCAATATGATTTGGGGTGGAGAAGAAGTTTCAAAAATATTCTAATTTTTTTTTTTTTTGTTTTACTAATCAACAGGTAAGTATAACTAGGGGAAATGTTGGTTTGTAAATGCTAGGTTGCCACTCTCCCAGATTTTGAGGATGAGCAGAAGCAGAAGACGTCTCTGGGTGTCCACCCACAGAGGATCCACTGATGGCGGCTCTGGCTCGGGCGTCCCCGCTGGACCCGGCTGAGCAGCGGAGGACACGGACGCCAGCTGGGAGCCCTCACACAACATCTCACTTAAAATGTCATGTATGCTACTTGGTTTAAATTGTCACCCCTCCAGCAGCCACAAACAATGCAGACACAGCAGATGTGTTTTCTATTTAGAATTAAACAGTTTATCTCAACCACTGTCATTGTTATAGAGAAAAAATAAATAAATATCCATCTTAATGTAAACTTCAAAAGGTACTTTCTGGCAACGGGAGATATTTTCAAATCCAAAGTCCTCTGAGAAAACTAGGATTTGACCACAAATTTTTTTTTCAAATCGGGATGCTGGCAGCTCCAAGAGTAGTAAAACACAGCCTGGTCAAAAGATTTCTGGCCAGATATTACATACAATAACTCATGTCATTGATGCTTAATGGTCCAAAACATTAAGTAAACATCATAAATGTCTTTTGTTATTAAATGTTCCATTCAAACATTTTGTTTAACTCTTGTGTAATGGATTGAAAATAAGAAAGCTGCGGTAGAGATTGGCCCTCATGACCATCTTTGATTCACCTTCAAAGGTATTTTTGTAAATGTATGCCATCCTCATAGTTACAGAAAGAAAAGAGCACGTCTGCTCCTCAGTGTATGCATTCTGTCTCTGGAAGTTAGACTACTTGGAAGCTTGACTTTTTTAGGTCAAGTTCAAACTACCACCCATGTATTCTGAAGACTATAACTTTGTTCTCTCTAAAGTAGGGAAGTCAGTCTTCCCCTGTGTTAACTAAAATAGAAATATGGGTGTTTTCTTAATGTGAGGTCACAAAGACAGGGAAAATGCTACTTTTTAAAGATCATTTTGCAAGAAAAACAATTGCTATAGTAAAAGGAAGACCACAATTGGTTTGTAAAAAAAAAAAAAAGCCATCAAGACAGTGATTATCTAATGTAGTTTACCCCATTTCACAAATTTTGACATAAATGCATAATCTGAAGGCAGCGTTTAGTCATTAGAACATGACTCATTTTATCCTGGATCTAACCTCAGCTTTTCTCTTGTTGTGTGTGTGTGTGTTTTTAATCTGTAGCTAAAACATCAGTAAAAAGCCCTAGTCATGATATTTTACTTGTATTTTTCCATAGAGCTTCTTTTCTTCCAATTTAAGTAAAGCCAGTTGCTCAGCTCCCCTTCTTGAATTATCTATTCTTACAAGCCCCAAATGCTGAGAGTTATCTGGATGTTTTCTGGTTCTCTTAGTGAGGAGAACATCCAAACAACACAAACCAAATGGCCATCCATTTCTATCTATCCTATAATTTGTATGTAAAGACAATCTGAACTCACATCTGGCATGTTGCATTCCATCTTAGTTGATTCTAAATGTGTTTTTCATCATATGCAGCACATTTTGGGGAGAAGGGTAGCATCATCGCTCTAAGTAATAGAATTCTCTAAATGAAACTCCTGAAAGTTTGTCTTTTCACAGTATGTCTATGACTCATTTGTTTATTCATTCATTCAAACAATGTTTCATCTAACAATTAGTTATTAAGCACCTAGTAAGCTCTTGCCTGGAGAATCCCATGGACAGGGGAGCCTAATGGGCTGCTATCGATGGGGTCGCACAAAGTCAGACACGACTGAAGCGACTTAGCATGCATGCATGCGCTCTTTGGAGAAGGAAATGGCAACCCACTCCAGTATTCTTGCCTGGAGAATCCCAGGGACAGAGGAGCCTGGTGGGCTGCCGTCTATGCGGTCGCACAGAGTTAGACAAGACTGATGTGACTTAGCGGCGGCAGCAGCAGCAGGCTATAAATGAGGCAATTTCATCTTTTCCTTGATGAAACTGAAACTGAAAAGGATCCTGTGGGATTCCTGGGCACAAGAGCCTTTCTGTGTCCCCAGTTTCTTGATTACAGGAAATAGGCTTCATTCAGCCTCTGACTTTCCCTGAGTTCCAAGGGCAGGTTCAAACATTTGCTAATTAAGGAAGGGAGGGGATGCAGAAACAAGAGATGAACAGTTTTAGAAACAATAGTGTAGCCTTGGGGCAGAGTCCTGGGGCCCCCTCAAGGGATATACATAACAATCAGTTCAGTTCAGTGGCTCAGTCAGGTTCGACTCATTGTGACCCCATGGACAGCAGCATGCCAGGCCTCCCTGTCCATCACCAACTCCCCGTAGTTTACTCAAACTCCTGTCCATTGAGTCAATGATGCCATCCAGTCATCTCATCCTCTGTCATCCCCTTCTCCTCCCGCCTTCAATCTTTCTCAGCATCAGGGTCTTTTCAAATGAGTCATTTCTTCGCATCAGGTGGCCAAAGCATTGGAGTTTTAGCTTCCAGTGAATATTCAGGACTGATTTCCTTTAGGATGGACTGGTTGGATCTCCTTGCAGTCCAAGGGACTCTTCAAAGAGTCTCCTCCAAAAACACAGTTCAAAAGCATCAATTCTTCAGCGCTCAGCCTTCTTTATAGTCCAACTCTCACATCCATACATGACTACTGGAAAAACCATAGCCTTGACTAGACAGACCTTTGTTGGCAAAGTAATGTCTCTGCTTTTTAGTATGTTGTCTAGGTTGGTCCTAAGTTTCCTTTCAGAGAGTAAGCGTCTTTTAATTTCATGGCTGCAGTCACCATCTGCAGTGATTTTGGAGCCCCCCAAAATAAAGTCTGTCACTGTTTCCATTTCCATACATAACAATATCTTTGAGCTATTTTGCAGATGCTGGAACCAGAAGGTTGATGATGCTGACTCCCACTTAACTCACCAACAACCCATCAGAAGAATGTTCATAAGCTGATCACACTCTCTATGAACAACTATTATAAAACTCCTTTCTATCACCTCCAGGTTGTGACACAGTTTTGAGGACATTAGCCCCCATGTGGCACCCTCTGCCGGGCAAAGCAATAAAGCTACCTTTTTTTACGTCACCAAAACTCTGTCTCTGAGATCTAATTTGGTATTAGAGTACAGAGATCAGATTCAGCTTCAGAATTGCTAGCTAGTCTCTAGCCCGTCTGCCACGTTTTTCTTCCAGGCAGAACAAATACCATTTTCTCTGTGTGTAAAATTCATTCAGAATCCTTTAGGAAAATCACTCCCTGAAATCTACTGTGGGATGACAAAGAGCAATTTTGTTATGCTTTGAATTGTATTTATGTTTGTATTTATATTGTATTTATATAGAGCCATAGATTATGCAAATAAATGACATAAAAATAGCAAAATTGCACAATTTTATAACAAAAGCAGTAACAGGAAAGGAAGAACAACAACAAAGATGCTGTTATTTCTCTTCTGAGCTTGGGAAAAAGCTATACTCCTAAGTTATTCTAAAGCATTTGAATTTTCTTTGGCACCAAGATCCAGTACCACAACAAGTACTTATAGGGATATTTTTGAGAAAAACTCCATAAGGAAACATGTAATGAGGAAATCTCTACCATGTTTTCTCTCTATCAAAAAGCCTTAAACTTTTTACTGTCAAACTACTATTTTTAAAAAGTGTTATTTTATGTCTCAACTATCTACGTCTTGATATATTGCTATACCACAAACAAAATTATGGCTACTCTGACATTTGAAATTAGAAGACCAAAAAAATATTTCACATACCACTCACCATGAGGAGAATGAAAACAATAATGATGGTAAATAAATGAAATAGGCTTCTTGGTTCTTTTCATTAGAATTTATCACAGTGGAAGCTTTATTGGATTTTTGGAAAATATTTTAGTTATCAAACTAAATCAGTCAATATCTACAATTTCTTTTTGATTAAAGAATAAAAAAGGTGATGGGGAAGAAACTATAAGTCTCTCTTAAAGAGATTAGTATATACTGTATGAAGCATTCTGGAAGCACTCTGGAATTTTCTGAATTTTATGGAATTCTTGAACATTAAATCCTTACATGTCTTCCTATTCTTCCTTGTTCACTGCATTAAATGAGACCACAGATTGAGAGAAATTTATGCATTTACTTTATTAAAATACCAAAGAACAATTTTTATATTTTCTTTAGATGGGAGAAATTTTAAGATATTATTATCCTGAAAAATCCCTCTAAAGTTAATTGCTATAGAGTCATTAAAACATAAAAGAGTCCCCTACTGATTTTCTGTCAGCAACATAGGACTTATTAACTTGATATTAGAAATCCTCTAATCTACTTCTACTGACAAAAGGATCACGGTTATCTCTCATACTGACGCTTAGGCTTGATTCCCTCATTCATTTAGCTGAGGAGTTATGCTTTGAAACAAACATTCTATATACACATGAAAATATTATTTAAAAAGAGTAAGGCAATATAGAAGGAATAAGGACTGTGATCTGGGAATCAGGATGCCTAACTTGATGCCACAGCTCAAGCCAGAGAGGTTATCAAGGTCCAGAGATGACTTGTTCTCTGTACTTTTGTTTCCATCTTTCTTCACTTATTAAGAATGTTTGGCACTTAGAGTATGTCAAATACATGAAAACTCTTTTACTACATTCTAAAGAGGAAAACCGTAATTGCAAAAATCCTAAGTGATAAAAACAAGTTATGCTTTCTTAATAGTACAGAGGGAACAAATATAATGCAATAATGAGACTCGTATTTAAACTAATGGTATACATATTATTATTATTATTATTAAGCTAAGTATCAAGCTAATAGTGAAACATATCATTTTAAACATAGTAGGAACATGATGAACCAAGGCAGTGCCTTCATTTCAAATAGAAAGAGAAGTTAGCTATCCTAAGAGTAATTGGTTCATAAATTGACTACAAGGTATTCATTTTAGCTTTTAGTTAACATTCATCTTTTAAGGTATTCAGAAATCAGATATTCTTCCTGGCTCAGAAGGGCCTTGTGATTACAAGAGAATTTTAGCGTTTACATATCCCAAAGAATGGGAAAACAGGAGACAGTGGAGAATGTTGGAACCATTCTTTGATCAATTTCTTGTAAAAAATCTCTTTCAAGACTTTTAATGGCTAAACCTCTACAGATAGTAGATCTATCAGAGCTTTTTCAGTTACATGTGAAATAAATTTGAGTAAATTTAAGTTCATATAATCAAAACAGGGAGGGTACAGGTGGAGCTGAACGCTCTTGACAATTCATCTTAGGTACTGAATCTGTCAGTTAATTTCTCTCTCTTTTTCTGTCTCTACCTCTACCTCATGTTCCGCTCACTATCCTACATGCTGGGGACAGAGCAGTGAATACACAAAATAAATAGATTTTTCCTCCCTATTGAGCTAGTGTTGTTTTCTAAAACTTTAAGCTTTTGAGTTTGATATAATCACAACAGAGATGGGGAAAGGGCATTCTTGGGAGAGAAGAAAGCATAAGCGACACACAGAAGGAGGGAAGTGCATGCGATGGACATGCTCGTAATAACCGAGGATGCTCAGGTGCAGATTACAGGCACAGGGTGAAGAGAAAGATGAAAGCGAAGATGGAGTCATATGCCAAAGGGTAATGATAGCCACAATATGGAATAAACAGCTAAGACATCATTTTGAAGGTGAGTCAACAGAGCTTGGAAACAGATAGTCGGTACGGAAAAGAGAATTGTCAGATCGGAGAGTCAGGTTTTTAATTCCAGAAACTGTGAAACGGCATTCCCATCCCTGCTGCTCACCTTCACACACAGCTACATCAAACTACAATGCGTCTGTGGGTTCATTAGGGTTCTCTGGAGAAACAGAACCAACAAGAAGATATTTATACAGATAGAGAAGCATGATGAGAAATTGGCTCATAGGTTTATGGAGGCTGAGAAATCCCCCAATATGTGTAATCAGTCAGCTGGAGATCCAGGCAAGCTAACGGTATAGTTTTGCTCTTAGTTTGAAGGTATGAAAACCAGGAGAGCTGATGGTGTAAATTCCAGTCCATAAACCGGCAGGCTCAACACCCCAGGGGAACCAATGTTTCAGTTTGAGTCTGAAAACAAGAGAGGACTAATGTTCTAACTCAATAGTCAGGCAGGAGTTTCTACTTACTTGCAGGAAGGTCATCCATTTTGCTCTATACAGACCTTCAACTGATTAGATGAAGACCACCCCATTAGGGAGAGGACTATGCTTTACACAGTCTACAGATTCAGGTGTTAATCCCATTCAAAATCTCCCTCACAGACACACCCAGGATCATGTTTAACCAAATGTCTGGGCATCTTATGGCCCTATCAAGTTGACACAGGATATCAGCCACATTTGGGCTTATGTACATTTTGAACCTTGTTCATGAGAATTCCTCTGTTTGAAATATTTTCTCCAGCCCCCCTGACCTTCCTCACTCCTACTGCTATCAGCCATCACCCTTGAGAATATCTCCACCATCATCCTTGAGAATATCTTCCTGTCCTTTAACAGTTTTTCCAAATGTTATCTTTGAAGTCTTCCCTAAAGCCCTACACCCATACTAAGCCATCCCAGGCATGTTCTAGTTCACACAATATGTTGTACAAGCTACTAATAAAGCATGTATCATATTACTTTAACTATTAGTTGAAATTTCTTTCATTTTTTATTAATCTGTGAGTCCTCGGACACAGAAAATGATTTTTTTTGGCTATTATTTTATTG